AGTTTTGGGCCCAATATTCACGCAGATGGGACTCTGTGGGAAAACCATTGCTCAAAAATTTTGATAATTGAGCATTGGTTTGATTCATAAGTTGTCACTTGTTTATTAAATAACTCTTTACCGAGTCCAATGCCACCTCTCTAAGCGCATACCTTTCCAGTTTGTCAAAAAATATCTGATCAAATGTGTCAAAAATTTTCTTCCTGTTAATTTTTTTTGTGTTTCTGTGTGTGCCCACTCTCTCTTTATTTACATAAAATGCAATTAGGTGAAAAATGATTTCCACTTTATTCAAGCTGGTGAAGGGGGAAGAACCATGTCCTATGTATTTTTAACGGAATAATTCAAAGTTCATGAGGATGCAAAAATTGTTTGGATGATGTAATTGAACACTAATAAATGTAGATTCATGGGAACATTTTTTTAATTAAATAAACAAAAAAAATCAACAATATGCATGTTTAAATTGGGGTTAAATTTCACGAGTAAGCATCAACGAGTAGGTAATTACATATTAAGAGTAAGATTAGTGTGTACTTTAGCTGCATCTTAAAAAAATAAATGAAAGTAGAATGAAATACAATATTTGTACATTTGCAATCATGTGACACCAGCGCCAAAATTTGAAAGAACTATTAAATTGATTTAAATACACATTTTTTCTGTCTGGAGAAAAACTGGAGAGAGAATTTTTTCTCTTTTCTTTCTTTTGAAATTAGTGAACTGTTTATGACTCAACGCCACGACCCATAACAGCTTTCTTTGTGTTCAACTCTGGTCTCAAAAGGATTATGTAACATTTGGGTCCAAACAGTGTGATCAAAAGTCCAAAACCTGAAGCCAGGATGGCAAATACCTCCACTGCATCTGCAAGATTTCCTGGTGAACTAATATAAGCAGGAACAAAGGCCACCCACACAGCACAGAAGATCAGCATGCTGAATGTGATGAGCTTGGCCTCATTAAAACTATCAGGGAGATTCCTCACCAGGAATGCAATTAGAAAACTGAGGAAAGCCAGCAAACCAATATAGCCCAATAACACTGCAAAACCAACAGTGGACCCAACTGCACACTCATACACTATCTTATCATTGTGGTATCGGGTGTTTTTATGTGGAGTTGGAGAGGAAGAGACAAGCCAGGTAGTACAGATGGCTGCCTGAATAGATGTCAGAAATAGAACTGTTCCTCTCTGCTGCATTGCACCAAACCACTTCAAACTGGTTCCCCCTCCTGGCTTGGAGGCTTTGAACACAGCCAGAACAACCATGGTTTTTACTAAGATGCATGAGACACACAGCACAAAGCTGATCCCAAATGCTGCATGTCTGAGTTGGCATGTCCAAAGCCTGGGTCGTCCAATGAACAGCAACGAACAAAGGAAACATAACTTAAGTGACACTAATAGCTGGAAACTAAGTTCTGAATTGTTGGCACGAACTATAGGTGTTCTGCGATGGCAGATAAAGATCCCCAGAACAACAGCACATATAAGTGTTCCCAGTAAGGAGGTTGCCGTCAAACAAATGCCCAAAGGGTCATGATAGGAGAGAAACTCTGTCTTCTTAGGAATACAGTGGTCACGCTGTGGGTTTGACCAAAAATCCTCTGGACAACTGGTGCACTCCAAGGAGTCTGATACAAAAGGGAACATTGGTGAAATGCATATTATTCTTCATAATAATGAAATTAAATATGTCATGCAAAAACAAAAATACGTACTGCTCTTATTAGTGATTTTTCCTTCAGAACAAGGGATGCAGTCAAAACAGCACTGGGGTTTCCCCTTCTCTCTCACCATGTGGGTACCAGGAGGACAGTTCTCACTACACACTGATTGAGGTGGCTATAGGATGAAATTACATAGCTTTGCTATGAGTTAATTAGCTTTTACACTGATATATACTGGGCATATGCCAAAAGTTAACTTTTAAAACTCCTTTCTAACCTT